TGGTCGTATCTCAAAAAATTCGTAAGGAGGGGCGTTCGTAACTAGAGGTACCACTGTATTATGATCATGTTACTATTAATTGTCTTCTTGTTGTTGTTGGATTTTTAATCCTAGATTCACTGCCCAGGATTGCAATTGGGAGACGGGCAGCTATATAAATGGATTAAATAAATAAATTTGTTTCCAAATTAATAAGCATATTCATTGCCACGGTTGTTGCTGCTCTGAATGTTTATGTTATCTCCTGTTCTCTATGCTAATTTTATACTGCTTTTATGTTGTTAATGTAGTTTTCCTTATTTAAATACTACATTCTAACTGGTTATACACTGCCTGGAGAACTATCTGAGGCAGAATAAAAGCATACAAAATAGATAAATAGATGAAGCAAACTGCAACTCAAGTTTGATACATGGACTTTTCCAAATTCCACCTCTTCCATTCTTTAAAAAATGGCAGTGGAAATTCACTTCCTAGGGAAAATATAATCTGAAATGCATTATGTTAGCAAAAACTGCTTGTAAAATACATGCATATAAAAACATGCCCTTTCATTGAAATTTGTGGCCATTTTTTTCGTAATGGCTTTTTAAAAAAAATAGCAAACTGATGTGGAAATGGGATAAAAGGAATTTACATTTGGGAAAAGGAATAAGTGGGTGCCACCAAGTACTCCCCAGGTTATGAATGCCTGGTTTACGGACAACCCATAGTTAAGAACAGAGCCTATTGTAGCAACATTCAAATTAAATACACAAGGATTTGAGTAAAATACAGAATGGTTCGAGTTCATTACACAATACTACTTATACAGGATTATACAATAATACTGTTCCAGCTTACATATAAATTCGACTTATGGACAGATCTTGGGAACGGAACTCGTTCTTAAACTGAGGACTACCTGTACTGCATATAACCCAGCACTGTGTTTCCCACAGCAGGCAACCAATTATCTCTGGGAAGCTCATAAAGCAGTATATGAGGACAATAGACTACCTTCATAGCATCATGGAGTTACAGGGTTGGAAGATCCAACCCTCACCCCAGGGGAGGAATCCTCAGACTATCCCAGATCTATGGCTGTCTAACTTTTCTTTGAAAATCTCTGGTGATGGAACACCCACAACTCCAAGAGGCAGGCTTGTTCTACTGCCTAATAGCTCTCGTAGTCAGGAAATTCCTCCTTATTATGAGTAAAGTTTCCACCTATTAATTCTTGTCCCACCCTAAGGCACTATGGCATATAAATCCACACCCTCTTCCCTGTGACAGCCCTTCAAGAACTGAAAGACTGCTACTACATCTCCCCTTAGCCTTCTTTTCTTTAGACCAGTGTTGTCCAAACTTGGCCACTTTAAGATGAGTGGACCAACTCCCAGAATTCCCCAGCCAGCCATGCAGGTCTAAATCCACACCCTCTTCCCTGTGACAGCCCTTCAAGAACTGAAAGACTGCTACTCCATCTCCCCTTAGCCTTCTTTTCTTTAGACCAGTGTTGTCCAAACTTGGCCACTTTAAGATGAGTGGACCAACTCCCAGAATTCCCCAGCCAGCCATGCAGGTCAAT